CAAAAGGAGTCAAAATTGGCAACTATCTCATAGAGTATTGGGCTTAAATGAGATAATTGATGTGAAGTTCTTAGCACAATGCCAGGCTTACAGGGAATCCTCAATAAAGGAAGAACAAATGTTTTTCTAATAATTAGAACCATTTAAAGATGGGATGGGCTTCCTTAGGGATGAGATAGGGAGTTCCTTGTTACTGGAAGTGTTTAATACAAGGCAGAACAGACTTCTTAAGTTTCATATGCAAACAGTTCACCTGGGCATAGTGTTAAAATGCAGATTCTAATTTAGGTAGGTCCTGTGTGGGGCCTAAGAGTCTGCATTTCTAACAAGCTCCAGGTGATACTGATGCTGCCAATTGGCCACATTTGAGTAGCAGGGTGCTAGATGATTCTTGGAGTGGGGAGGGGGGGATGCTGGAGAAGGTATGTGATCAGATGGAGCAATGAGTTAGATCGCTGCTGCCCAGTATGGTGGCCAACTCACCAATGTGGCTATTGAATGCTTGAAATGTTAGTCTGAACCGAGATGGACTGTGAGTGTAAAATACACAAAAACTTAGTATCTAAATAAACTGTGAAATATCACAATGTTTTATACTGATTACATTCCAAAATGATATTATTTTAGATATACTGGGTTAAGTAAAATATTGTTAAAAAATTTTAAAGGAGGGACGCCTGGGTGGCTCAGTTGGTTGAGCAACTGCCTTCAGCTCAGGTCATGGTCCTGGAGTCCCGGGATCGAGTCCCACATCGGGCTTCCTGCTCAGCAGGGAGTCTGCTTCTCCCTCGGACCCTCCCCCCTCTCATGCTCTCTCTCTCTCTCATTCTCTCTCAAATAAATAAATAAAATCTTAAAAAAATTTTTTTAAAGGAAAAAAAATTTAAAGGGCTAGGAATGGAAGGTGATCTGGCAGTATCTGGAGGGTGACACAGGGTTAGAAGATTTTCTCTCTTCCCATGTACCCTGGGAAGAACATGAAGCTAATAAGAAGGATAAATGGAGGGAGACGTTGGCTGTCCAGGATGGGGGGGGTGGATGAGTAGGGGTCTGAGATTTGTGAGAAGCCAGGAGGTAAGGCAAGGTTTATGAGGTATATATACAATTATATAAAAGATGGAAAGACAGGAAGGAAACACATAGAAATGTTAATGGTGTTATCTGGGTAGTGGAGATGACTAGAAGGAAACACATAGAAATGTTAATGGTATTATCTGGGTAGTGGGAGTGATGCTTACTTTTTTTTTTTTTTTACTTCTTTTGCATTTTTATCCTCTTGTTTATGGTTTTTATATTTTCTTTTTCCCTTTATAAAGATACATAACTTTTAAAATTGGGGAAATGTGGGAGGACCATAAGAGGTAGCAGGGACACTGACTTCAGCACAGAGGCCACCCTGTAGGAACATGTGACAGAAACATGCACATCCCAAGAATGATAGTATAGTATGTGTGCATGCACTGAGGAAGGACTAGAAGGAGGTTCTCCACACTGTTAAGAGTAGCAACCTTCGGATGTTTGGGTTTTGGGTGATTTTTACCTTCTTCTTTCCACTTCTGTGTACAGTTTAAATGTTTTATAATGACTATGTACTTTTTTAAATCAGAAAAAGAAACCATCCTAATTTTGAAAAATAGGTGTAGACTTCATCACAGAAAAATAATAGTCTCACTATATTCTGTGTTGATAAAACCACATCTTAGGCTCTCATTCTCCTGCTGGCGTCGAAGAAGCAAGTGGCCGTATTGTGAACTGCCCACGGAGAGGGCCATGTTGTAGGAAACTGGGACAGCTTCAGGAGCTGAGAGTGGCCTTTGGCCAACAGCCAGCAAGAAACTGAAGCCCTCAGTGCTACAGCTGCAAGGAAGTGAATTTCACAACAACCTGAGTGAGCTTGGAAGCGAATTTTTCCCTAATCGTCTTGAGATAAACACACCTTGATTGTGCCTCCTGAGACCCAGAGCCCAGGACCCTGTTAAGTCATGCCTGGATTCCTGATCTGCAGAAACTGGAAGACAATAAATGTGTGGTGTTTTAAGCTGCTAACTTTGTGGCAATGTTTTTTACACAGCAATAGAAAACGAATACATCCTTCTACCAGCAGTGTATGAGAATTTGAGATGCTTTCCACCAAACCCCTTGTACTGTCAGTCCTTTTAACTTTGGCCATGTTGGTGGGTGTGTATTGTGATTTTAATTTTAATTTTTTAGATGACTAATAATGTTGAACATTTACTCATATGCTTATATGTCATTTGGATATACTCTTTAATGAAGTACCTCTCAAGTATTTTCCCCATTAAAAAAATTGAGTTGCCTTTTTTTTTTTTTTGGCATGTATGCAGACTTAAGAAAAATTTTTTCATTATTGGAGTAGAATTGACATACAATGTTATATTAGTTTCAGGTGTACAACATAGTGATTCAACAATGCTGTAAGTTATGCAATGCTCACCATGGTAAGTGTACTTACCATCTGTCACCATACAATGTGATTACAATATTATTGACTATATTCCCTATGCTGTACTTTTCATCTCCGTGACTTATTTATTTTATAACTGGAAGCTTGTACCTCTTAATCCCCTTCACTTATTTCTCCCATTCCCGCATCCCCCTCCCCTCTGGTAACCACCAGTTTTGTTCTCTATATTTATGAGTCTTCGGGGTTTTTTGTTTGTTTTTTAGATTCCACATATAGGTAAAATCATATGGTAGTTGTCTTTCTCTGTCTGACTTGTTTCACTTAGCATAAAACCCTTTAGATCCATCCATATTGTCACAAATGGCAAGATCACATTCTTTTTTATGGCTGAATAATATTCCATCGTGTGTATATGTGTATGTATACATACATACTGAGTTGCCTGTCTTTTTACTGCTGAGTTTAGGAGTTCTTTATTTATACTGAATATGAGATTTTGTAGGATACATGGATTAGAAGTCTATTTTCCCAGCCTGTAGCTTGCCTTTTCCCTCTCTTAATTATGTCTTTTAATAAAAATAAAAATGTTCTCAATTTTATTTTTTGTTTTTATTGAGATATAATTGACATAATATTGTATTAATGATGTAAACTTCACCTTAATGAATAAAAAAGATTTCTTCTGGCTCCAAATACAATGCTCTTTTCATTCTTTAAGACCAGGTGTTTCTCTTGGGAGAGTAGAAAGAGGAAAGCATATTTTGGTTCGACATAAATGAGAACTTCCTAACAGTTATCCAATAGTGTAATGGGCTGACTTGTGATGCATACTTATACTGGAAGTATTCTAGCAGAGACTGGATAACTGTACATAATGAATATTATAGAAGGGACCTCTAAGTGCCCCTCCAACTTGAAGATTCCAGGATTCTATCCTCTTGAATACCTTCTCTCCTGGAAAGATCAGAATTCAGGCATAACATAAGACAGAGTATAATCAAATACTGGTCTGTGAGATAGAGACTACAAATAGAAGGTAATTAAAAAGGAAAATGGTCAACTTTGATAATGAGGATTAGATCTTTTTTATGTTGTTTTAGGAAAATGTTGAAAACAAACTAAACAATCAAATAGCAAATGTGTTAAATAAAAGTGTGGTATGTGTTTATGTTTCTACAAATGCTCCTTTTAATTCATCTATTGTAGAACTTTTAAGATAAGTCATTTGAAAACAAAGCTGCTTTTAACAAAGTTTACCTGGGTGGTCAGTGAGACTAGCTGGTGGTGGCAGTGGCTGAAGAGGCAAAAGTGCAGTCTTGTAGAAAAGTTAAGACAGTGATTTGCTCACAGAGAAAGCCTTAATTTTATAAAGTTCAGTGACTTGGATGTGAGGGACAGGACCAGGCCACAGCTGGAGACATAAAATTCACATCGTTGGAGAGAATACAGTTCTTCCAAGTAAGAAGGACTCTAAGCTACAGCCCTTTTTGGCTAGAAGGGAGTGTTCGCTGAGATGTAAATTGAAGGGAATTCACATTTTGGAATGCGAAGGTAACAAGGGTACTATTAAAGTCGAGAGCAGTATAGCAGGGCAGTTAAGAGCCTAAGCTCTGAAGTCAGACCCAGATTTGAGTCCCAGCTCTGCCAATACCAAGTTACTCCTTTAAAACCTCAGGTTTCTCATCTATCAAAAGGGGAAAATAATAGTACCTGTCTCATGGAGTAGTTGTCGGCACACGAAGCTCTTGGCACTGTCCTTGGTAAGCACTCCACATCAGGTAATATTATGTGTGCTGCCTGAAGAAATTTTTTAATGGGCGGAGAAACCTAAGTGTTAACTAAAATGAGAAAAATCCTTTCGGAACAAAGTATTCTAAATACTTATTAATTCAACAATAATTTAGTGCCACTTCCTTGCATCGACCCACTTTTACTTACACGCAACACGCAAACTCTGTTATTTTTGTATTCTCGCGGGATTATGGAACCTTTGCGTGAGCGGCTTAAAAATCGAATGTAGCCCATTGGTCAACGGAATTACCCAGGGTGCTTTGCAAATACTCCTTCCGGTCCCTGGGGGCTAGAGCTAGAAGCCGCATCTCAGGCTCGCTCCTCATTTTCTGGCCGATTGTAAGGTACGGATTAATTTGGACTCTCCCTTTAGGTTTTCTACTCTTCAGATTCTTTAAGTTTTTATGGTCTCCCTTTCTGTTTCCAACCTGTTTTTTCTCAACTGTGTGCTTTGAGTACAGGGCCCAAGTATGATTCCTCAGTCCCTAATACCTGGCGCCCATTCGGTGCCGCGGTTTATTTACTTGATCTTTATTTTCTCTCTGACTTCGGGCACCTCACTAAATACCCTTCACTCCTTTCCCTCATTTTCCTACTTTTAAGTCCTCTGCCCCGCCCCCTCACTTTCCCTCCTTTTTCGTACTTTGCGCGCAGGCGCCCCGCCCCGCCCCTTCACTACGATTGTCCCGCCCCTCGCGTCACTTAGGTTCTGGCTGGCCGCTCTCCTCTTAACCCCCGCCCCTTTCCTAGCCCTAGTACGCGCGAGGTGGGTGGTAACGCGGTAACCAGGCGACATCTCTGCCCCCGACTGGCGAGCATGTGAGCTGCAGAAGCTGTCAAATTCTCACGCCTTAGTTCTCTCTCCCTACACCTTCCAAAAGGTTGCCCTTTCTGGGTCTTTGCATCCGCAGCCGGCTCGACTTCCCCCGTTAAGACCCCTGTCGTTTCCACCTCTCATTTCGTGCCTTCTTTTTTAGGCTTTGAGGAGGTGGTGTTGGAATGCCTGTGCCACCGTTGCCGGGGCGACGACTTGGTTACTTCCGTTGGTCTCAATGCTTCCGGGTTGGCATTGCGGTGGCGTTTCCGATTGTGGGAGCCTCGGCTTCCCAGTCGTCCGATGAGCCCGAGCAGGTGAGGGGGAGCTCCTGGACTTCCAGGCTGGGGAGCGGGGCTGGGCCGCGCCAGGCCGCGCGGGGCCGGGCTGGCCTGGTTCCCGGCCTGGGAGGGGCTTAACGGTCCTTTGATCTCTCTCTCCCCTCAGCTGAGTCCCTTCCCTGTCTTTCACTCTTCTGGCATCGGTGGTTTTACTTCTTCGATTGAACCCTGCTTCCTCGACCCCCTTGGGAGGCCGCCTTCTTCAGGCGCCTCCCTTCTCTCCACGAACTCGCTCTGACAGCTGAGGAACTGGCAAGATCCTGCTACCCAGAGGGTGAATGGGTATCTTTCCTGGAATAATCCTAATTTTTCTAAGGGTGAAGTTTGCAACGGCGGCCGTGATTGTAAGCGGAGTAAGCAAACACCTCCATTGTGTTAGTGTGAGGGATGCTGTTAAAAGATGCTCCCCTTCAGTTTCTATCCCCTGCCACTCCTTAAGGTCAAGGCATTGAAGGCATCTATTAAAATGCAGTTCAGCTAACTAATTGGGATGACAGCCATTATCAACATGAATTAGATTCTCAGACAAGGTAACAGCAGGGACGTTTGTGGTTTTCTGTCAGTGTTTGCTTGTTTTTTCCAGGCTAGGGATGCTTGGAGTTATTATGAACTCTTGTCTTCATTCCCTACATCATCAAGTTCCTTTGTGTTTCTATTTTATAAGTTTATCTCTAACCTCATTGCCAACAAGCATCTTGTCTGCTTTACTTTGTCTGCTTTACTTCATACCATCTTAAGCTAGTTTCCTTGCCTCTCTCCTTTGTAATCCACTGCTTGCTGCAGCCCTAGTAAGCTAACTAAAATGTGGATATCCTCATGTCCCTTCCCTGTTCAAAAACTTATAGTATCCCTCTCATGCTGCCACACACGCATTTTGGTTTTAAGCTTTTCAGTGTAACCTTTTCCTTACCGTACTTCTTGTCTGATAATTGTTTCAATCTGTTAAGGGAATTCTCTGTTCCAGTTAGGTTCCACTCTTCCTTCTCGGAACAAACTCTACTGATGCCTGCCTCCACCTGCTGTGCTTTTTCAACATTTGTGTCTCTGTTCATCCTGTTTTCATCCTCCACCCCTCTCTTACCTACACCTATCCTGATTCTGCCTGCACTCTGGCAAGGCCCATTTTAAGTCTTTCACATCTAGAAGCCTTTCAAATTATTCAGGCCCATGCTGTTTGTCTCCTTTTCCATGCTCCTGCTCTTGTAGTTTATAATATATAATTTAGTGCTTAATTTTTCTCTAATGAACTACTTTGATTTCTTCTGCCAGACTATAAGCTTTTGAAAGGCAAGTGCTATAATTTGTACAACTTTATCCCCACCCCAATCTCCTTGATTATCCAGGAAAGATAGGTTGAATGATAGATATTGTCATATGTTAGAACATATGTTTGTTTTCTTTTAACATGACGTTTATACCCATAGCATGTTGCAGGTTTGGGCATTAAGTATGCCTTCAATAAATATTTGCTTCTCTTTCCATTATTACCTCTGAAGTCTGAGAATCTGTAATGCCTACTCTTTTTTAAAGGAGAAAGTGAGAAAAGCACCCAGATTTATCTGAGCAGATATTTGGAATAGTGTAGTGCTATCTAACTTGTGTTCTAAGACATTCTTCTCACTCTTTAGGAGATCAGATTTTCCTTAGACTTCAGAACACATTTGCATTTTAAAGACATTTTTCATTGGCTGCTTTATGCGATAAATATTTAAGGTACTATATTTCTGTTTTAACTCAGATGTGACTTCTTTCCTTTTACCCATATCTGGGGATAACCCTCACAAGTAAAAATCATTTTTAGCACTCTTGGGGTCTTTTACACAAGTAATTCTCTGCAAAAAGCCAAGGGAAGAGAATTAGAGAATCGCTGTGTTGTGTACAGAGTGTGTAGCATTGCTCAGGTCTAGCAAGTTAACTTTCTAATTTCTCACATAATCTTTTACATACACACTGCCTACATAGATAAAGGACATTTCACTGGAATCAACCAAGTATTTAATGGCTATATACCCAATTCTGTGCAAGGCTTATGAAAAGTACTGTGAGACATGGTGTTTGCCTTCAGAAATCTTACCTAGATAAGAGAGAAAATAACATGGGGCAACTAGAAGAGAAACCTCATCCTATGTGCCTGAAATTAAGATACAGAAGGGGTAAATGAATGTTCAAAAAACGTTGCACAACTGTGGAATAGATATAACAGGACATGCATGTATGTGTATGGCCTTATGTAAAAGACTTAGAGGTTTTAGCTGGCATTTTAATGATTTCAGTAGTGTGAGATGGCCTCCACAAAAGTGACTGCAATTTTCAGCTGTAGTAAATGGAGTATAATATAGTGAGTGATGAAAATTATTGTGGATGTTTACACTGAGAAAGATGTAGGAGAACATGATAGCTGTCTTTAAATACTTGAAAGACCCCCATAAGGAAAAATAATATGTTTAATATTACCTCCCCAAATGGTTGAAAACTAGAGGAAAGCAGACTTTTGGCTCCGTATGAGGAAAGAATGTCTAAAAGCAGACCTAATTAAAGATATAAAGGACTTTTTCGTAACAAGATTCTTTCCTAACATGGAGGAAAAGGGATTTTACTGACAGATGAGGGAGTGGTAGCAGTGTTGAATTTGGCCAGTGGTCCCTAGACTTTTGGATTTCGTGCACCAATAACATTTAAGTGAAAGTGTGGGGAGGAGGCACAAATTAAGGTAGCCAGTCTTATTTTACTAAGAAGAATACTAAACCAAATCAACTACCAACTACATTTCATACAGGAAAGGTGATTTAAAAAAATGCTCCAGGAGGAAGAACATGATTTCCTAATAGATAGTTCTTTAAATTAAACATATTCAGCTGAAGAAAAAAGCACTAGGTGCCCTTATTTTCTTCATTTCACCTCAGAATTGTGAAAACTTCATTAAGGAACCACTGGGCTGACTGACCTAAAATTCCATTCCCTGCTATGGCTCTGCCCCCTGCCTTTAACTGATGTATTGTTCCCTGAACCCTGGGAACATCTTCCTTATTAAAAGTCTGGGCAGCAGGTAGTGAAGTTCTGATAGAGGCTTTCTCTGTAATGAGATGAGTGGAAAGAAGTTGTAAAAAGAAAACTTTGGAGAGAAGCATAGCAGCCATTTGAAATGCTTGACTGTTTTGGGAAATCTCTAAATTGTGTGTGTGTGGGGGGGGAATGCCCTCTCTGTTGACTAAGAGAGGGGATATGCCATGGTCCTTGCTTTTCCATGTTTACCCTCTCACCATGTGTGTCACATTTTACTATCAATTGTAATAAAATGTGGTCATAACTGAAAATGTTAATAAGATAATAGTACTCAAGACTCATTTCAAACTGCAGCTCGTACTTGAAGTGCCTATTCCTACTTTGCTTTTTAGAATTTCTTTCAACAACTTTCCTCCAAAAGAGCTATCTATTCCAGACTCTATGTATCAGATGGACTGGCTGATCACACTATGCTTAAAGGAAGTGTCCATAATTATTTTTGTGGCCTCTTACTAAAACATTTGTCTGCATGTTTGCTGTCCTCTTTGGAAAATTGTTCATTTGTGCTTACTTACAGAGATTTCCTTTTGTGGAAATAAAGCAAAACCTTGTCTCCCCTAAAAAGAGACTGTGACTCAATGGTGCTAACCTCAGTTTGGGCAGTGGGGGTGGTGAGCAGCAAGTAATAGCTGTTAAAATGTAATTTTGAGTACTTTTCAAAATGTAGTAATGATAATAGCTAATAGTTGAACTAGAGGGTGCTTGGTTGGCTCAGTTGGAAAAGCATGTGACTCTTGATCTTGGGGTTGTGAGTTCGAGCCCCATGTTGGGTATAGAGATTACTAAAAAAATAAACTTAAAAAAAATAATAGTTGCACTAGGTGCCAGTTACTTTTCTAGGTATTTTACATATATCATTTAATTTTCACAATAACCTATAAGATAGTATTTATTATCATCCCCATTTTATGAAAACGCAGGCATGGAGTAGTTAAGTAACTTGGTCACAGAGCTAGTAAGTGGTAGTGTCAGGATTTGAACGTAGGCAGTCTGACTTCCGAATCTTTATTCCTGACCGTAAAACACTTGAAGATGTTTTTGAAATTCAATAGTATACGTACTGTGAAGTTCTGGAAAAGGAATAATTTAAAAGAAATCTCAGAGTCCATCTTAAATGAGATTACTTCCATCTGGACCAGGATTTAGTAGGTGATGCATAGAGCAGTAGTAGATCTTAAAGTGTGGAAGCACCAGCATTATTTGGAAACTTGTATATTCTTAGGCCAAACTTGGGCACTAATCAGAAATTCTGAGGGTGAGGCCCAACACTATGTTTTAATTCACCTTCTAGATCATTTTGGTGCACCTAAAATTTGAAAACCACTAATCTAAAGGGCAGAGCTGTGGAAAAAAAATAAAATCCAACAGAGAAATAGCTGAGAGTGGCAGGAAAAACAAAAATGAAAAGATTGAAGATGACAGGTCTAATGGGGGTGGGATGGGGAAGAAGGATAGGGGGCTGGAAATAGAAGTACATTGTTAAAGAGTCTAAACATCGAAGAAAAACAATATTTATATGTATGTGCTTTAAAAGGCCAGGGAAAAAGAAATTCACTAGATGGATATATGTTAAATGTCAGAGAGAAGAGAGACATCATTATATTGTTTTCATTCCTCTGGGAATCAGAAGGAAGACGAAAAAGTACTTAGTTCAGCTTGGGCTTTGAGGGGAGAAGTTGTATACAGCTAGAAGTAGCTAGATGAACTAAACCCCTGAAGTTTATTAGAGAGATGAGAGGTCTAAGAACATGAAAGGGGAGTGGTGTCAGCCTTTGCTTTGCACCTGAATCAAGGTAACAGAATACCATGAACTGCTTTTATGAGATGCCTCAGCCTATATAATTTGAACTCCAGGTTCCTTCACTTGTAATTGTCTAGTTGAATGTCTAAGTTGGTTGTGCTGGATGGACTGAAACCTCTTCTTCGGGTGGGGACATGGATAAAATTAAACTAGAGAGAATGAAGGGTGCAAGTTGATCTTTGAGGGAATTGCACACCTACCCATACAGAATGGCAGTAAAGAACACATTCATGATCATCCAGCACATAAAACAGGATTCCCCATTTTGTTTCATTCCACTTGGTAGGGTTTTTCCTCTACATCTGTTTTATTTGTCAATTTTGTTGATATAAATAATATGATCAGACACAAATGCTCCTCACTCTTGTGCCTTGTTCTGATTTGTGTTTATTTTTAGCACCAGAAAAGTGCCACTGTAAGCCATGAGATGTCTGGTCTGAATTGGAAACCCTTTGTATATGGCGGCCTTGCCTCTATTGTTGCTGAGTTTGGTAAGAATGTGAAAACTGACAAATCTGCTTCTATGTTATAGATGGTAGCTTATGGTGACAGTTATTTTGGTGAAAACTAGAAAAAAAGTGAAAAGAAGCTCATTCTGTTTGTTTTAAAACTATTGTCTCTAAGCCATCAAGTAATATTTTCTGAGAAAGTACTACAAATGGTATGGTGAGTGAGATTAAGAAAAGTCAAACTTAAGAAGCTCTTTTGATAGTTTAATGATTTGTTAATTTGCTCTAGGCTTAAGTAATATGAAAAGGTAAAGGGAGTTAGATAATATAGGGGTTTCTGCTATATTTTTGCACTAATGGTCTTTCCTTTATGCTAAGTTGTTTATAGCTTTCTTAGAGAGTATCCAAACTTTTTTTTTTTCAAACCTCAGTCCCATTTTAGAAGAAAATTGACTAATAAGATCAAACTAGATTCTTCTCTATTTGGTTTTAATTTTGGAATATTTTTAGATTGTGTTTTTTCATTTTCCAAATTTTCTCTTTCCTAAAATATTCATAAGTGACTCTAATCCATTAATCTTTGTTGACTTTCTTGGCAAATGCTCTGGTGTTGTGATATCAAGGTCATCAGTGGCCAGAGCTACATAATCACCTTGTTAGTTTTAGACTTTGAAAGATTCCCTGGAACATATTTTGTCAATGTAATGGCCACTTCTGTGTGTTGATGTAATAAAAGAAGTTGGTTAAAGAAATTTCCTAAGCACTCTGCTGGCATTAGTCCCAAATTACCTGGGAATCCAGATGAGTAGACCAAATAGGACTTTGCCGTTATCTTTCATAATATTAGGGAACTATTTGTTTCTTGTAAACAGATAAAAGAAAAAAAACCACAAAGCTTTCTAATAGTATATAAGGGTACCTGGAACAGCAATCCCATGCTTTCTTATCCTCTTTGTGAAAATTTGGGGAGATTTTATGAAGGCAAAGTGGGGAGATGAGATGGGGGACAGAGGAAGAGACAAATGCCAAATTGAATGTTACAGATGAATAAAACATTTAAATTATTTTGTATTTATAGTATATTAGGACCATCTTAAAGCACTTCACAGTTTCAGTTATACTGTGGGTCAAATCCTACTGCCTAGATACAGTACAGTATATTTCACTTTACCACATTCAACTCTTCTGACAGTGGTACTCCTAGTAGAGATACCCTCTGTGTGTTATAAAAAGAACTTTGTCTTATGTTTTAAAATTGTCATTGGCTTAAATTTGGCCAAAATTTTAACTGTGACTCTTTGGAAAAACTTATAAATCATTGTGTTCCTTTATAGGAACGTTCCCTGTGGACTTGACCAAAACGCGACTTCAAGTTCAAGGCCAAAGCATTGATGTTCGCTTTAAAGAGATAAAATACCGAGGAATGTTTCATGCCTTGTTCCGCATCTATAAAGAAGAAGGTGTATTGGCTCTGTATTCTGGGTGAGAGTGGATTCTTTCCTTACATCATGAAGGGAAATACTTTTTAAAGGAGCCATGTATTTCAGCTGTCTGATAGTGTGTGCCCTTCATATTCACCATTCCAATTTGTAATTCAATATTGACGTGCCAGTTTATATTTCACTTGCTTGTAGGTCTCGAGCTTTGGATTTTGTGTTCATCTGGCTTTAAGTGATATGTTTTAAAATGGATATCTCATTGTAGCATTGGCTTTCTCCTGTTTTCCTGAGAGTCATCGATAGCACACTGTGAATAGCAGCACCAGTTAACTGTATATATTTCTGTAATATTCCTCCTGAGTTGCCAAATACTCATTTCTTTTAAAATTTTCCTCTTTAAAGAAATACTGTTCTGGGAGCTGAAACATAAAATGCAGAATGAGAGAGAGGGAGACCCATCTATTTGTCAACTTTTAATGAGCTATAGATTTGTGCTTTATCATCCATTTTGCCATGTATCTGTTGCCATTTCCTAGGTCACTCTTGCATTCAGGTTACCAGTTTACTGCTCAGAAAATGGACATCAATTTTACTATTAACCTGTGTTAGACTTAATTTTATTTATTTATTTATTTATTTTAAAAGATTTTTATTTATTTATTTGACAGAGAGAGAGATAGTGAGAGAGGGAACACAAGCAGGGGGAGTGGTAGAGGGAGGGAGAAGAGAAGCAGGCCTCCCGCGGAGCAGGGAGCCCAATGCGGGGCTCGATCCCGGGACCCTGGGATCATGACCTGAGCCCAAGGCAGACACTTAACGACTGAGCCACCCAGGCGCCCCTAGACTTAAATTTTAAAAGATAATTTTCTTAGGGAAAAAGATCAAGTAATACATTCTGAAGCTAGTGAATCATGGATCAGCTGTTTCATCTTATTCTTTAATCAGCATGGATAATCACAAGATTATTTTTTTCTAATAGCAAGCAATAATGTCAGAAATATGCATATTTAGTCATCATTTTAAAAATCATAACCATCCAAGCTGCTGTCTTCTTTCTATTTATAACTACTAAAGTGTAGTTCTGCAATTTGGAAGAATCTCAAAGGATACGGTATGAGTGAGAATGTCTTCAGTTTATAAGCAGAACTTAAATAGGGTGAAATCTTGGCTCTGTACCTCCTTGATAGATTAAAGATGTATCTGCAATTGTTAGGAAGTACGGTTGATTTTTAAAAAACCTCCATGAGGGGGTTGGGGGGAGGATAGAGTAACTGGGTGATGGACATTAAAGAGGGCACGTGATGTAATAAGCACTGGTTGTTATATAAGACTGATGAATCACTGAACTCTACCTCTGAAACTAATAATACACTATATGTTAATTACTTGAATTTAAATTAAAAAAGAATTTAATAAAAAACAAATGATACCATATAACCCCCCCAAATAAATAAAAAAAATAAAAAATCTCCATGATGTGAATAGTGGTGTATACTTCTTTTTTTCATTGCTAGATTTGGTTTGCTAATATTTTGTTAAGGATTTTTGCATCTAAATTCCTGAGAGATATTGGCATATAGTTTTTTTGCTTTTGTACTCTTTTTGTATGGTTTTGGTATCAGGGTAATACTAGCCTCATAAAATGAATTGGGAAATATTCTCTCTTCTCTTTTCTGGAAGAGATTGTGTAAGATTGGTGTTGATTTTTTAAATGCTTGGTAGAATTCCCCAGTGAAATTATCTGGGCCTGGAGATTTCCTTTTTGGGAACTTTTAAATTATGAATTAAAAATGTTTTAATGGTTATGAGACTATTCAGATTATCTGTTTCATCTTTTTTTGATGATTCCCATATTTTTATCTATTTCATTTTGAGTTTTGGTAGTTCGTAGTTTTCAAGGAATTAGTCCATTTCTTCTGAGTTCTTGAATTTATGAGCATAAAGTCATTTATAGCATTCCCTTATTATCCTTTTAATGGCTGCAGAATTTGTGGTGCTCTCCATTTCATTCCTGATATTGGTGACTTATGTCTTCTTTCTTTTTATTACTGTGAACCTTGCTAGAGTTTTATCAATTTTAGATTTTTTTCAAAAGAGCTATCTTTTTGTTTTATTGATTTTTCTCTGTTTTTCTGTTTTCAATTTTGTTAATTTATGCTCTTTATTATTCCTTCCCCTTATGCTTGCTTTGGGTTTACTTTGCTCTTCTTTTTCTAATTTCTTGAGTTAGGGACTTAGATTATTGATTTGAGACTTTCCTCCTCTCTTTCTCTTCTTTTTTTTTTGGGTGGGCAGCAAAGCAAAGTTTATTGAGATAGTAAAGTGATAGTACAAAGCTCCTAAAGAGGGAGGGGACCCCAGAGGGTTGCCCGAGACTTTCCCTCCTTTCTAACGTAAGCATTTTGTGCCATAAATTTCCCTCTCAGCACTGCTTTGGCTGTATCCTACATATTTTATTTTATTTTATTTTTTTTAAAGATTTTATTTATTTATTTGAGACAGAGAGAATGAGAGACAGAGAGCATGAGAGGGAAGAGGGCCAGAGGGAGAAGCAGACTCCCTGCCGAGCAGGGAGCCCGATGCGGGACTCGATCCCGGGACTCCAGGATCATGACCTGAGCCGAAGGCAGTCGCTTAACCAACTGAACCACCCAGGCGCCCTATCCTACATATTTTAATAGGTTGAATTTTCATTTTCATTCAGTTCTGCATATTTTTAAAATTTCCTTTGAGAGTTCTTGTGAACCATGGATTGTTTAGAAATGTGTTGTTTAATTTCCAAGTGTTTGAGGATTTTCCTTATTGATTTCTAGTTTAATTCCATTATGGTCAGAGAACATACTCTGTATGACTTCAATTCTTTTAAATTTGTTGAGGTTTGTTTTATGATCCAAATGTGCTCTCTTTGTGAATGTTCCATGGGTTCTTGAAAAACATATTCTGATGTAGTTGGGTGGAATGAGGTGAGTAATGGAAATGAGTAAACTAGATATGTATAATCTACAAGTGCACATTGAATATAATTGACTTTTTCTTTCTTTTTTGGCAGAATTGCCCCTGCCTTACTAAGACAGGCATCATATGGCACCATTAAAATTGGCATTTACCAAAGCTTGAAGAGATTATTTGTAGAACGTTTAGAAGGTCAGTATACACTCATTCTCTTTTAGGGTAATAGAGGGATTATTGAAATCATGCTTACTGAGAAGCATGCATCATGGGATGCCTGAGAGTGGGTGACAGTCATTGCAAGGACAAAGCAAGGTCCTACTGACTTGGGATTAATCCTTGCAGAGGTGATATATGGGATAGAGGGACCTGCTCTTTAAGTTTGTCCCTTTTCCTATCAAAGAAAAAAAAAAGGTTTCTGCTCATCACAGAGGGAACTTGAGTAAGTTTGTCCAGAAAATTAATGCTGTCCTCATCAACAAAAGGACTTCAGCTATAAGCAATTCTCTAGCTGCCAATTTTGATAAGCTTTTGTTAGATGGAGTAATTTTAGACTGTTCTAGATTCTGTTATACTGTGGCCACCTTACCCACATTCAGCATTATCCTATGTCTCTAAATGTGCTGCTGCAGTGTTTCCAGCTTGATACTGTACTTAATGGTTATTTTACCACAGGCCTAGGGCTTTTGCATGGTTGGGGATAGCTGGAGAGCCTTTTGATTAGTAATGTCTTTGAATTACTTTATTGTCCTAAATTGACTTTTTCTGGAGCCTCTTTGAGGATTCGGAAGGGTTTGCTTCCTAAAATAATTTCCTTTCACAGATGCTTCACTTGGGTTTACCTAGTTTCTATTTGTAGGCTCTTCATGGTAAGGAGGCATGGTGAAGATGGAATTTTCATTTTGGAACATTATGCTCTGTGGTTTCTTTCTCTCTCTCTCTCTCTTTTTTTTTTTTTTAAGATTTTTTATTTATTTATTCATGAGAGACAGAGAGAGAGAGAGAGGCAGAGGGAGAAGCAGGCTCCCAAGGAGCAGAGAGCCCGATGCGGAACTCGATCCCAGGACCCTGGGATCATGACCTGAGCTGAAGGCAGACGCTTAACCATCTGAGCCACCCAGGCGCCCTCTTTTTTTCTCTTTTGCTGAGCAGATTTAGTTTCAAATGACTGGTTTTTCATATTTGTCTACAGAATCTTCTTTAAATAAATAGAAGCTAGTAGATATCAAGGCCAGTCAAAATCAATATTTAGGTAATCTTTTCTGTTAACACATAAGTTTTTATTTTTTAACATTTGGTCCCTAAGTCTTCTAGAGTTGATGATTCTCCAGAAAAGGACAAAAGAATTTTCTTTAGGTGTTTGAAATGATTGAAGAAGAAATACCACATTCTGAATTTATGTGGGTTACTGGCAATTGCTGTATATAGAATAATAGGACATGTTCCAGTGTCTTTTAGAAATACTTTTAAAAAATAATGATTTATGTTTCAGTACTGATTTGGGATCTAGAAATATTTGAGTTTCTTTAGTTTCGTAAGCTTTGTGGTTCATTTCTTTTTTTTTTTTTTTTAAAGATTTTATTTATTTATTTGACAGAGAGAGACACAGTGAGAGAGGGAACACAAGCAGGGGGAGTGGGAGAGGGAGAAGCAGGCCTCCTGCGGAGCAGGGAGCCCGATGTGGGGCTCGAACCCAGAACCCTGGGATCATGACCTGAGCCGAAGGTAGACGCTTAACGACTGAGCCACCCAGGCGCCCCTGTGGTTCATTTCTTACAGTCATTTCTCTGCCCAGGGTTCCTTTCCTCTGATAGATGAGTACTCTGTTCTTTGAAACTAGTACTTAATACAGACTTTTTTTTTCCTTTTTACAGATGAAACTCTTCTAATTAATATGATCTGTGGGGTAGTGTCAGGAGTGATATCTTCCACTATAGCCAACCCCACTGATGTACTAAAGGTAAGAGAGGTCTGGTAGCATTGGATGTATACAAAGTGTTATGAAAAGAGCATGAACTTTGAGTCAGATTTGGGTTTATTTTTTTTTTAAAGATTTTATTATTTATTTGGCAGAGAGAGACACAGCTAGAGAGGGAACACAAGCAGGGGGAGTGGAAGAGGGAGAAGCAGACTTCCCACAGAGCAGGGAGCCCGATGTGGGGCTCGATCCCAGGACCCTAGGATCATGACCTGAGCCGAAGGCAGACGCTTAACGACTGAGTCACCCAGGCGCCCCCAGATTTGGGTTTAGATCTCCACTCTGTCACTTGCCAGCTATAAAACCTTGGGCAAATAACTGCTTTAAGCCTTGGTTTCCTCATTTGTAAAATGAAGATAATTCAGTACTTATTGCATAGGGTTGTTTAGGATTAGAGATAATATATGTGAACTGCCTATCATACTTGGTAGATGTAGGTGCTCAGTAAATAGTAGTCAATTTATTATGATATGCATTAATCCATTGGTCTTTAACTTAGAGTACGCAAACCCCTGTAAAATTCTTTCCAAGGACTATGCAATTTTAAGGGAATCAGTTTCTAGATCCCTTACTTCCATTTGTTTTCTTCTAAAATTGATCTGAGAATGAATGTATGTTTTTTTTTTAAATTTATTTATTTGTCAGAGAGAGAGAGCACAAGCAGGGGGAGCAGCAGGCAGAGGGAGAAACAGGCTCCTCACTGAGCAAAGAGCCCAATGTGGGACTCGATCCCTGGACGCTGGTATCATGACCTGAGCCGAAGGCAGATGCTTAACCAACTGAGCCACCCAGGCATCCCAAATTTGTGTTTTTAAAAGTTCTTTCTCCACTTTACAAAAGAAAGGCATATTCCCCACACATTTCAGATCTTAGTATGGTATATTGACCTGTGGTGTAATCTGGGGTACCGGACAAAGGGATAAATTAAAATACAGTTTTTGGAGAAGCCTCCTTTAATAGCTAATTGAGGTACCTTAGTCTATAATGCATCTGTTTTCTTATCTTACCTATATTTCCATGAAGGGTGAGATTTGGCTTTAAAATGGTATATTTTGGTCTGTGTTGGGATATTTTGAATTCAGAACTAGAATAGCATAGATTAGTGGTGTTGATTTTTTAAAGATTTTATTTATTTATTTGACAGAGACGTAGTGAGAGAGGGAACACAAGCAGGGAGAGTGGGAGAGGGAGAAGCAGGCTTCCTGCTGAGCAGGGAACCCTGTGCGGGGCTCGATCCCAGGACCCTGGGGTCATGACAGCCGAAGGCAGATGCTTAACAACTGAGCCACCCAGGTGCCCCAGTGGTGTTGATTTAAAAAAAAATAATAATAATAAATAAACAAATTTTGATTTCTTTCAGATTTTATCAAAACAGGATGAAACATTTAATAATATCAATACTCATTTTATCTCATAAAGTGGTACACATTTTCTGCATAGTTAATAACTTATTTAAACTTATGATTAATTAAAAGCAGTAAATATATGATTATAATGTGTGAGAGGGTCCCTAAGTTTTTGTCATTTATTTTAGGGGAAATGTGAGAAAAAAGAGGACATATGCTTTATTTATTCGAAACCACAGGTGACTAGGTTAGTGAAAGAGAGACCTATTGCAATTCAGAGAATTTTGAGAACTGAGAGGTGACTTGAAACACAGCACACCTGAAAGAAACCAGTGATGGTTGATGGAGAAAAGATATGACATTATCTTTCTGGGTTAAACTGAGAGTAATGTAGCTACAGAATTTTTATATCACTTTAGGTTTACAGAGCAAGTATTTATGAGGAGAATTGATTGTATCCTAAAAGTCCAGAACATTTGCAATATAATTACACTTGACCTTTTCAAGAACAACAATACTTAACTCCCTAAAGCTTCCTTTCTTATCCATCTGGATCCTCGATTTAATCACCTAAGTGATTTGCTTCAAGTTCCTGTCCCTCTGACCTGCCTGGTAAGATTACAACCATGGACCAATGCTATAATCTCCCTTTTCCTTTCTTATACCTAGGTAGGGCTGAGGGTGCTGGGAATGGGGAAAATCACAAACTTAGACCATGACAGTAACTATATAGGATCTATAATCACAGTTGAGCTGTTCACTCCTTTCACATATCCTTGGACAACTTTTTCTCTGATTTCTTTTGTGTTACTTCCTTGCCTTTGTGTATGTAGCTGTCTTTCTGACTGTAATGCCTTTTCCCCCTTTCTTCATGAATTTATCCTTCAAGGCTGCTCAGGAACAGGGACAGGACTAGGATAAGTGAGGTATTCCCTGGATGCAAAATGGAAGGGGACACCAAAAATTCAGTAATCAAGAGAAATAACACTTTTATGCAATATTTTTCAAAAACTAAAATGAATGCAAAATACTCATGATGAATAAAATACCAATATTTTGTATAATTCATCTCACCTCACCCGAATCTCACCCCTTTGGATCCTGTCTTTAGTTAACTACAGTTTTGATATTTGGTTCATTGTGGGTTTTGTGCATAAATTTTCATGTTTTGAAATATTGCATTATTATTTGTCTAGATTACTGAGGTTTTTTGAGTCCCCCTCCTACATTTTGTGCTAGAGGAAAGTGCCACACTTACCTCACCATAGTCCCAGCCCTGCTCAGGAATCCCCTCCTTCAAGAAATCTCCTACTTAGAATAGGATATTTGTAGTTCCCATTTGTCTTTGTGACAGTTTCTATTCCAATTTAATTGAGTTTAGGTTTTTATTTCAAAACTCTTAGTAGCAATTGACTTTCCACATAAAAACATGCTGTTCCATGATATCCCAGAGACATTTATTGAAACCTAGAGTTGCACGTCATGAAAATCAGGCCACATCTGGGCGACTAATATTTAGTGACTGACTACTATGATTCTAAGTGTGCAGTCAGTGGGAAATTGTACCAAATCTTTCACAGGGCTTTTTAATGTTAGCTCTACTTTCTTGCACTTCTCAAAGGTTACTTTGCAGAATACAGTATCATGCTTTTTACAAATAGAATTCTATTTAAGGTCTTGTAAGCATGAAATTATATTTTAAAACCTTTTTTTGCTTTTAATAATTACATAAAGAATGCATGTTCAGTGTAGAAAAAAGTAGAAGGCAGGAGAAAAACACAAAAGAGGAAAATGCTCCCTTGTCTTATCATTCAGACTTAAACCACTGTCTACATTTGGGTGTGTATATGTTCATCCAGTCTCTTTGCTGTGCATAGTTATTTTTAAGTTTACATCTTTTTTTTAAGGGTTTTATTTTTTATTTATTTATTTTTAAAGATTTTATCTATTTATTTGAGAGAGAGAGCACAAGCAGGGGGAACAGCATAGGGAGAAGGAGAAGCAGGCTCCCTGAGCAGGGAGCCCGATGTGGGGCTTGATCTCAGGACCCTGGCATCATGACCTGAGCCAAAGGCAGATGCTTAACTGACTGAGCCACCCAGGTGCCCCTAAAGATTTTATTTTTAAGTAATCTCTACACCCAACCTGGGGCTGAACTCACAACCCTGAGATAAAGAGTTGCATGCTCAGAGCGCCTGGGTGGCTCAGTCGGTTAAGCATCCGACTCTTGATTTATGCTCAGGTCGTGATCTCAGGGTGGTGGGATAAAGCCCCGTACGTATCAGGTTCTGCACTCAACAGGAAGTCTGCTTGAAATTCTCGCTCTCTCTCCCTCTCCTCCTACCCCCACTCATGCACATATGCACACTCTCTCTCAAATAAATAAGTCTTAAAAAAATAAATGTATAAAAAAAGTCTCGGGCGCCTGGGTGGCTCAGTTGTTAAGCGTCTGCCTTCGGCTCAGGTCATGGTCCCAGGGTCCTGGGATCGAGCCCCGCATCGGGCTCCCTGCTCAGCAGGAAGCCTGCTTCTCCCTCTCCTACTCCCCCTGCTTGTGTTCCCTCTCGCTATGTTTCTGTCAAATAAATAAAATCTTTAAAAAAAAAAAAAAAGTCTCATGCTCTACCAACTGAGTCAGCTAGGCATCCATTAGTTTACATGTTTTTAATAAAAATGACATACCATGCATACTGCTCTGCAACATGCTTTTTCTATGTAGCAGTTAATTGTTGACATTTTCCAATGTGAACAGATACTCTACAACAAAATTTGATGGCTGCATAGTATTCCATTAAATGGACATATCATAATTTATGCAACCAGTCCTTTGTTTTTGCTTTTAGACCTGCAGATTGTTTCTAGTTTTTTTACTAAACTGATCACATTTTAAATGAATTATTTTCTACCCTCATTGAGTACTTGTTCTCTCTTTCCTGCAAATTTTCTTTCAACTCCAGAATTGATGGACTTAGTATAAGGGATGTGAGGCTCATGAAAATAATTTTTATAAAATATACTTTGACACAAATTACATTTTTAAAATATATAGTTTGTCATTAATTTCATCATCATAGCAGGCTAATAGTTCTGATAATTCCTAAATACTGTTTTCTTTATTTTGAATAAGTGAAACATCTCATTTTGGTCTCTGTTAAAACAGAGAGTAAGAATCTTCTTATTTTAGATTCGAATGCAGGCCCAGGGGAGTTTGTTCCAGGGCAGCATGATCGGCAGCTTCATTGATATATACCAACAGGAAGGTACCAGAGGTCTGTGGAGGGTGAGTACTCTTTTCCTGGTATTATTTTATGCCCATTTCCTATACTTTGCAAAGAAATCTTTTTATATAGAGCCCTATAATTATGAATTGTCATCTTACACTGTTTAAGATTCTTGGTAACCCAGAAGATAAGGTAAGAAACTTCTTATCACCTATGAAAGGACCAAAACTTACCAGTTGTCTTTATTTCTGCTTAATGTTTGGGGGTTGTGTGAGAGAAGGTTATTATATTATTTGAGGTAGTCATTTGGTTTGCTCAAATTGACAGTGAATTTAGTTCTTCAATATATATTTTTGCTAGTTTTGTACTAACACAGCAGTATATGTTTATGATAGTCTCTGTTTACCTAAAACAACTTTTTTAACCTTATAGAGAGTAAAAATTGTACTATAAAATTTTGAGATCTATAGAAGAGAAAAAAACCAGTAGTCTCAGTAGCTAGAGATAATCACTGTTAACTTTTTATCATATTATCTTCCAGTTTTTTATCTATACTCCTTTTTTATTGTTGTTCCTATAACTTTTTATCTTATTTTAATCCCTTAATATTGTAATACTAAGTAAGACTACTAGTAGAATATGCAGAGAGAGTAGAATGGGAAATCCATTAATAAGCTCTTAAAGAAGAGAGCTTTGTTTTTTTCTTCCTTTATATTTTCCCCCAACTTCCTATAAAAATTTTCAAACATACAGAAACGTTGAAAAGAACAGAACATACCCAGATTAAATGACTGTTATAGTCTGGCTATATTTGCTTTATCTGTGTGTATGTATATACACAGATAAACACACACACATTCTTTGTTTTTTGTGTTTCTTTTTTTGTTAAACTATTTGAAAGGAAGTTGCAGACATCCTGGTACTCTCCTAAATAGTTCATTATGCATCTCCTAGGAATAAGGACATTTTCCTACATAGTAATACATAATAACAATATCATTATCACACCTAAGAAAATTAACAAGTCCCTAATACGTAACATCTAGTTTATATTCAAATTTCCTTTATTGATGAGACCAGGCCAATTTTCTTACAGAATGTTTCCCCTGTATTTCCTGCAAACTGGAAGTTAGGTCTATTGGCTTGATTAGATTCATGTTAAACATTTTGGTGTGAGAACTTCATAGGTGACACTGTATATTTCATATTGCACCACAGCATGAAGCACATGTTAGGTTGTCCCACAATTAATGATGCTGAATTTGATTACTTGGTAAGACAGTGTCCACCAGATCTCACCACCGTAAAAGATTTAAGTTTTCTCACTTTGTAATTAGCAAGTAATCTGTAGGATGACATTCTAGCAATATGCATATATCCTGTTATTTAATAACCTTTCACCTAATGGTCTTAGCATCCATTAATGATCCGTGAGGTTTGCTTTTTGATAACAGGGTGCACTTTCTTGATTAATTTAAAACCAGAAAATGGGCCTAACTAGAAATTTTTCACAAACTAATGCTAAGGGAAAGACAAAGAGCAATAAACACAGCAGGGAGATTTTGTCAGGGGAACATAGCTACTTTATTTTTAATTAAAAATTTTAATTGTGGTAAAATACATATAACATAAAACTTACCATCTTAACCATTTTTAAGTATACAGTTCAGTAGTGTTAAGTACATTTACGTTGTTGTTCAGCCAGTCTCTGGAACTCTTTTCATCTTGTAAAATTGGAACTCCATACCCATTAAACAACTCCTCCCCATTTCCCCCTGCCCCTAGCCCCTGGCGACCATCCTTCTATCTGTCTCTATGAATTTGGCTTTTCTGGGTACCTCATGTAAGTGGAATCATACAGTATTTGTGTTTTTGTTACTGGTTTATTTTACTTAGCATAATGTCCTCCAGGTTCATTCATGTTGTCACATGTCCTTCCTTTTTTAAGGCTGAATGATCTTCCATTGTATGTATATGCCACATTTTATTTATCCCTTCATCTGTTAATGGGCATGTAGATTGTTTCTGTATCTTGGCTCTTGTGAATTATGCTACTCTGAATATGGGTGTGCAAGTATCTCTTCAAGACTCTGATTTCAGTTCTTTTGTGTATATGCCCAGAAGTGGGATTGCTGGATCATATGGTAATTCTGTGTTTAATATTTTGAGGAACAGAGCATAGCTACTTTTATGATCCAGGCTGCTCACATCATCCAGGCATGTAAGATAAAGAAGTGAAGTACATTGTGTTATGTGTTCTTTTGACACAGACATGTATCATTTGCATGTTAAAATACAGGAATATTTTTTCATTTCAACAAGGAAATAGGTTTGCATTTTTCTTCAAACACATGGTCTTCTTTGTTAGTGTTTTATTTTTCTGCTTTGATTTTCACATGGGTGGGTACTGGAAACATTTTATTTTCTAACTCCATTGTAAGAAATAACAGCACAAGTGCAGTAACAAAGTGTAACTGGTACTTATATCAGAGTTGGAGAGACTGTAGAGAGTGATGGGGACTCTGGTGAACTGGAGATCACCTGCCCTGTTCATTGCTGTCATGCATGATGGGAATCCAGTGTGGCCAAATTTTCTGGGCTTTCAAGAGAAGCTCGAGATCTTCATTCCTGTGTGAAGTATCCTGTTTTTTATATGTTGACAGGTAATTCATCCTTCTAGAAATACTTTGTAGGCCACACACAACATTTCTGTGGCCTGAATTCGGCCCATGGGCTCCTGTTTGGGGCCTTACTATTCAGCAAGGTTGTCTTCTGTGCAGATCATCTTCTAACACAGTTGAGCAGGTGGGAAGGTCAGAGAGAAAGGCACTGTTGGGCCAGCCAGCCTGATCAGCAGAATCAGACATCTCCTAGTGATAGCACAGCTATATCATTTCCATTTTATAAATTGAGTTTGGCAATTTATAGATGATTGAGCACTTTAATATAACAGGTATCCAAGAAAGCAGTTGTTCCCATGGTGTATTTTCAATTTTAAATAACATTTAAACAGAGTTATAAAAGTAAAACATTCATTGTGAATTTTTTAAAATATAAGAAAGGCATAAAAATAAAAATTAATTTATGTTACCCTAATTCCAGATAAAGAAAAATATTTTGGTATATTTTCTTCTAATCCTTTATAAAAATTTGGTGTTTGTGCATAATATCCTTTTCCCCAAAGTTAGAATAATGCTATGTCTTGCCTTCTTTAATGTTACCAGCATTTTCTTGTGTCATTAATATTCTTCAAAAATGTGACTTTTAAAGTTCTAGCAGCCCTGTGTTGTAACATGATTTGTGATAGGAGTATTCTGCTAGTGAGTGAAATGCTGATAGCATCCACAGGAGGACCGCTTTGCCTTTCCTTCTCCCTGGCTGCATTATACCTTTGCTGTCATCCTGGTGTGTCTTTTCTGCATATCCTAAAATTCTGTAAATTAAACTTGGAAGCTCTCCTCTCTCCATTGACTTTTGCTTCATGGTTTTATTTTTTTTAATAACATCTTTATTGAGATAATTTGCATACCGTAAAAATCACCATCTTGAAGTGTGTAATTTTAAAAGATTTATTTATTTATTTTGGAGAGTGAGCGTGTGCGTGCATGCAAGAGAGAGAGAAGAGTACATGTGGGCACGTGAGCAGAGGACGAGGGAGAGAGAATCCTAAGCAGACTCCCCGCTGAGCAGGGAGCCGGACGCAGGGCTTGATTTCATGGCCCTGAGGTCATGACCTGAGCTGAAATCAAGAGTTGGACACTCAACTGACTAAGCCACCCAGGTGCCCCTTGAAGTGTGTAATTTAATGGTTTTTAGTTTATTTACAGACTTGTGTAACCATCACCAATGTGTAAGTTTAGAACATTTTCATCACCACTAAAAGAAACCCCCTATCCATCAACAATTACTTCCATGTCTCCCAACCTTCCCAGCCCTAGACAACCACTAATCTACTTTCTGTTTCTCTAGATTTGCCAATTCTGGCATTTCATATAAATGGAATCATAAAATATATGGCATTTGTGACTGGCTTCTTTCATTTAGCATACTGTTTTCAAGTTTCATCTGTGTTTTAGCATTTATCAGTACTTCTTTTTATAGCTGAATAATAATTAATTGGTGTGAAATTGCTAAGTCATATAGTAATTCTGTATTTAACTCCTTGAGGAATTCCCAAAGTATTTTCCACAGTGGCTGCCCCCCATGTTACATTCCCACCAGCAGTGTATAAGGGTTTCAATTTCTCCACATCGTCACCAATACTTTTTATTATTATTATTATAGCCATCCTACTGGTGTGTAGTAGTATGTCACTGTGATTTTGATTTGTCTTTTCTAATGACTGATGATGTTGAACATATTTTCTTAATGCTTATTGTCCATTTGTGTATCTTCTTTGAGGACATGTTTATTCAGATATTTTGCCCATTTTTAAATTGGGTGGTTTGTCTTTTTATTGTTGTTTTGTAAGAGTTCTTTATACATTCTGGCTACTAGCCCCTTATCAGATATATGATTTGCAAGTATTTCCTCCCATTATGTGGGCTGTCTTTTCACTTTCTTGGTGATACCCTTTGAATCACAAAAATGTTTAATTGTGATGAAGTCCGTTTTATTTTTGTTTCTTTTGTCACTTGTGCTTTTGGTGTCATACCAGTGATTTTATTTTTAGTACAGTAAGTGAATTGGGATTTATAAGTGTTCCACTATTAGCCACTGATTTGAAAGGATGGCCTCTGTACTTCAGACTTGGATTTTTATGTCACTTTGTAACTTCCAACCTATTTTCTTCACTTTTAGACTTATGTTACTACTTGTGTATTTCTTTGGTGTTTAATACCACTTATGTTTTGCAGGGTGTCGTCCCAACTGCTCAGCGGGCTGCCATCGTTGTGGGCGTGGAGCTGCCGGTCTATGATATTACAAAGAAGCACTTAATATTGTCAGGGGTGATGGGAGACACAATTTTAACTCACTTTGTGTAAGTGTGATAGGTTGTACTTGTTCCGTATTTCCATTATTTTGAGCACAAAAAGCATCTTTCACTGAAGTCCTTATATAGAATCAATAATGGGTACAGGTGGTCTAAATACCCCTGTCTTTCTTATCACCAGAACTTCGAGCCTTCCAGTACTTGTACAGAGATCCCAGATGCTATGGGTACTTTGGTACTTGGTAGCAGTGTCTATTACAATAGCCTATCAGATGTCTGTAGGATTTGAATTTGTTCATACACAGCCTCTGTATCTAAACTTATCTGTTATTTGCTCTGGTTAATTTTGGATCAGAAAGCAAACTTTTCTCAATGAGAATGAGAAAAAAGTGAAAATTTATAGGGCCTGTGAAACAAAACCACAGTTTTGGGCTGAAAACTGTTGCTAATCTCAATTTACATTCTCTTCATCTTACAACTTTTATGACACTTTACTGCTCAAATGCATTTGGTATATGATGCTGTGGTATGAAAACTTTATATAACTAATAGATGACTTGTGATACTTTCTGCTTAGGGATCTTGCTAGACTTAAAAATTGCTCCCCCCCCCAAAAGGCTGAGTTTTGGATTAAAAAGTGAAGGGGATAAATTTTTTTAAAAAAGATTTATCTATTCATTCTAGAGAGAGAAAATGAGTGAGTGGGGGGAGGGCAGAGAGAGAATCACCAAGCAGACTCCCTGCTGTGCACGGAGCCCAAGGGGCTCGATTCCACAACCCATGAGGTCATGACCTGAGCTGAAACCAAGAGTCAGAAGCTCAACCAATTGAGCCACCCAGGTGCCCCTAACTTTTTTTTAAGATTTTCTTTTCAAGTAAATATGGGGCTCAAACTTACTACCCAGAGATCAAGAGTTGCATACTTTACTGACTGAGCCAGCCAGACATCCCATGGAGATAACTTTTGAGTGATGTTTCTTTAGAAAATATTTCTCTTTAGATTATAATGAAAGGGCAAGAGCCAGATTTTATCTGATGAGTCTGACTCACTGTACATTTATGCATTTATGTTTGGCTTAATTTCTGTTTAGTCACGGTTAGAAGTGAGGCAGTCTAAAAGTTTTCACCTTTAGTTCCAGCTTTACATGTGGCTTGGCTGGGGCTCTGGCTTCCAATCCAGTTGATGTGGTTCGAACTCGCATGATGAACCAGAGGGCAATCGTGGGACATGTGGACCTCTACAAGGGTACTTTGGATGGTATTTTAAAGGTATACACACTGTAGACTTGTTTTACATTTTTAATTTTCTTTGATATCTCAGACATTCAGTCCTTATTCTTAGTTGCTATGTATCATTTTGAAGATGGAAGAATCATGATGTATATATTTAATAGCCTCTCAGAGTAATTCCCAGGTAGAAAAGCTATCTCTTTGGCAATCTGCTGATACACATTGGTCCTTAATATTATTATTCCAATTTGAATGCTTGAGACTGCAGGATACTTTTATTGATAGTACCTTGTAGAATTATTGACAGAAGGGACTTAACATATCCCACATTTGCCTGCTTCAGACAAGACGGAGACCCTGTAGTAGAAAATCCAGTACTCAATTTCAGTTTAGTATTGTGCTGTTGTTCAGACTTTGCCTTTGAAAAGTTTCTGCTCTTATATTTGTAGGAAGCTGAATATCATAAATGTATGATGTAATCACTAGTGATCATCCTTCTACAAAAAGCAAATTTGCGGCTAAAATATGACATTTCCATATGGTTTCTCTGCTGCTATCAGTTTAGTTTAACAACCATTTATTATCTACGAGGCACCATTTTGTAGATACAGAGAAATTAGAGTATACTGCAGGTGTGCAAACAACTAACACAGCTCGGTAAGTGATAAACTCAGGGACCTATGGGAGGGAATTTTAGTCTAATTTGGAAGTTTAGGATAGGCATCTTGAATAATAGTAACTCACGTCCATTGAATGCTTTACTGTGTATCAGAAACTGTCCTAATGAGACTTACATATATTCATTCACTTAATCCTCGTCATTATCCCATGAGGTAGATCCTGAAGCACTAACCTGACCAAGGTTTCACAGCTAGTGGGATTTCAGCTCAGACCATTTGGCTTCAAAACAACATTTTCAAGCTCTATACTATAGTGCTTTTCTCATGTTGATGGCTAAGGGTTAATTAAGTTATAAAGGATATTGAATGCCATGCTGAGGTGCTTGGGCTTTTTTCTTTTTACTTGATGAGGAGCTGTTGAAAGATTTTAATCAAGTCAGATTTGTATTTTAGGTCACTTTGGCTTTGTAGAGCCTGGATCTGAGATAGTGGTTCTCAGTCTTTGATGCACGATTGGAATCACCTGGGGAACTTTCACAGCTCCTGTGTCTACCTTTTCGACCAGTGAACTCAGAACTTCTGGGGGTAGGACCCAGGTTGAAAGTATTTTTAAAACTCCTCAGGTGATTGCAATGTTCACCTAAGGTTGAAAGTCATTAGTTTAAGGGGATAAGCCTGGAGCAGTGGTTCTTAAGACATTAACATGGAACCTAATTACCTGGAGGGCTTATTAAAATGCAGATGGCTGGTTGGGCCCTGTCACCAGAGGCCCCATCACCAGATTCTGATTCAGTAGGTCTGGAGTAGGACCTGAGAATTTGCATTTCTAACAGTTCTCAGGCAATATTGATGCTGCTAATCTGGGTACTACACTTTGAGAAGCACTGACTTAGAGATAGGGAAGCTGATTAGAGGGCTATTATAGTAATCTAAGTTAGAGGCAATGAAGCCTGAACTTGAGCATTGTAGTGGGGATACAGAAGGTGGGATAAAGCTGAGAATAATTTAGTTGATAAAGTCAATAGGATTCGATTGACTGGGTGTGGAGAGGTGTGGGAGAAAGGAGGTGTCAGAGATATCTTCCTGGTTTTTTTGTTTTGGTGACCATGTGGTGATACTCACTGACAGGCATCACAGGAAGAGGAGCAGATTTTTTGGGAGACAGTACAGTTTTGGACACTTAGTTTGAAGTGCATGAGGAACACCCAGTGGATCTATTTGGATATCTTAGTCTTAACTCGGGGGGAGAGTTTGGGGGTATAGATAGGAGCCTGGGGAATCAGTAGTGTACAGGTGTTACCTAACTGTGGAGGGGAAGACCAAGGAGAAAAGGTAGAGGAATTCCCATCTTTTTTTGCCTTTCTAGCACACTAGAGTATTATGAGCTCCTTCCATTAATAGTGATTCAGAGTAAATGATTCTCAGACTCTGGGGAGTAGAGTTTGGTAAAAGCCTCTCCTTAATATTTCTGACATGCTTATCCTTCCACGTGACAACTGGTGTAGGGACAAAGGTAGGGCCAAGGAAATAACTCTGGGGAATACCGATTGCTAAGGGCTTGGCAGGTGGGGAACCTAGGAAAGAAACCAAAAGATAACAGTCAAAAGATATGAGGAAACTTGAGTCATGGAAGCCAAGGGAGTAATGAGTTTCAAGAAGAGTACTTATTTAATGCCAACTGGAATAGAGAGATCCCGTATAAGACCTACAAAATATCTGTTGGATTTAATATGCTCTAGAGGAGGTTTGCTGGGTTGGTGTTTGCAAAAGCTAGATTGCATTGAGGAGTGTGTTTAATTATTCATTGAATACAAAAATGTTTAAGTCTTTTTTAAATTATTTATTTATTTGACACAGAGAGAGAGACAGCTAGAGAGGGAACACAAGCAGGGGGAGTGGGAGAGGGAGAAGCAGGCTTCCCATAGAGCAGGGAGCCCGATGTGGGGCTCGATCCCAGGACCCTGGGATCATGACCTGAGCCGAAGGCAGACGCTTAATGACTGAGCCACCCAGGCGCCCCCCAAAATGTTTAAGTCTTAAGTGCCAGGTGCTGTTCTAGTTGGGTGAACAAAAAGTTTCAGCCTTCATGACACGTGTAATAGAGACAGATAAACACATAGGAATCAAGGGTAAGTAGACAAGTGTAAAATGCTCTTTCAAGAAGGTTGGTTAAGAGGAGATAGAAGGCACAATAATAGAGTAATAGGTAGCATTTAGTGAATGCTTATTATGTGCCACACACTGTGGTATATCCTTTAACTCACAGTAACCCTATGGAATAGATATGTTTTCCATTTTTATAAAAAAGGGAACTCAGGTCAGAGTGGCTAAGTATTTACCCAAGATTACACACTTAATAAGTGGCAGATCTGGGACTTAAACCAGATTCTGATTCCAAAGTTTATATAACCACCATGTTGTGTTGTATTGGCAGAAACATATTTTCATATTGGCAGTAATCTTTACTTATATTTACTCATTCATTCACTTATTTGCTGTTGAAATTCTTTATAATGACTGCTCTATATTGTCATTATATATAATCACATCATGCTTTATTTTTTTCATCAGTAAGAGTCCCAGAGCACTAGTGAATGGAGTTAATGCATTCATCCTGACATTAGAAACAAACGGCAGCAAATCTTATCCTGTCACCTCTATCTTAAAACCTTTGGCCTCTCATTGACTGAAGGCTCTATATGATTTGGCCCCTTTTTCCTTCTACAGCTTTATTGCTGCTACCTTTATTCTACATTCCAGATGGACTGTACAAGTTCTGGTAGACTTTTTTTCATTCCCAAATTTTCATCCATGCCACATACTTTGTTAGATGCCCCCACACTAGCCTAAATATCCTTTTCACTTGGCTAGCTCCTATTCATTCTTCAGATCTCATTACTTTTTCATAAAGACCTTCCCTGACTGTTGAACTAGGTTATGTGTACATAGTTTCTTGTACTTGCTCTGTCAACATTTATTATATATATATATATTTTTTAAAGATTTTATTTATTTATTTGACAGAGAGAGACACAGTGAGAGAGGGAACACAAGCAGGGGGAGTGGGAGAGGGAGAAGCAGGCTTCCCGCTGAGCTGGGAGCCCGATGCGGGGCTTGATCCCAGGACCCTGGGATCATGACCTGAGCCGAAGGCAGCTGCTTAACAGCTGAGCCACCCAGGCGCCCCAACATTTATTATATTTTTTAAGACATCTTTTTTGAGAACTAATTTACATATCATAAAATTACCTATACAAAGTGGCTTTTGGTATATTCACAGGTATGTGTGACCATTATCACCACAGTTGATTTTAGAACATTTTCATGAATTCAAAAAGAAACCTTGTACCCTTTAGTTATCACCCCCCTTTTCCCTCCCTCCCTCCCAGTCCTAAAATACCACTAATCTACTTCCTGTCTCTGTAGATTTGCCTATTCTGGATATCTCATATAAATGGAATCATAGGATATGTGACCCTTTTGACTGGCTCCTTTCACTTACCATAATGTTTCAAGGTTCATTCATGTTGTAGTGTGTATCATTGTGTTTTTCTTTTTATGGCTGGAAAATATTCCATTGTATGATTATATCACATTTATTTACACTTGTTACATTTTATTGTAATTGCTTTTAATGTCCGTCTGTCCCCCTAGACTGTCCCCCTAGACATGTAAGTTCCATGAAGGCAGGGCTATGTGCATCTTAATCACTTTATCCACAGAAATTATTTATTGAATGGGTGCATAACTTTACGAAGTAGTCTGTTGTCTCTGTTATCTACAGAAGTTCTTGTTTGTTTTCACACAACTGCCTGAAGCCCAAAAGTGGGTCTCCCAGTCCTAATGTTCTAAAGGAGTTGGTCACTGTTTTGGGGCTCTTTAAAGATTCATATGGCTCATGGGAGTGTTAGAGATCCTCACTGTGTTTGTATGTTCATTTACTCAACAAATATTCATTAGGTATTTATAGGGAACTTTCTTGTGGCAGACAGTGTTAGGTGGTGGGGTTATAATGGTGAACAAGATAAACATAGTCCCTGTTGTCCTGGGGACCACATTCTAGTTGGGGGAGACAGACAATAAACACAAAAAATAATATAATTTTAGGTAGAAGTAAATGCTATGAAGACATTAACAGAGCATGAAACAGTGACTTGGTAATGATGGTAGGGAAATACTTCGGCTAGGCTAGCCAGGAAAATGCTGTGAGGAGGTGACATTTGAGCAGAAGTCTGAATGATGAGAAGAAGGTGGCCACATGAAAATCTGAGAGAAAAACATTTCATAAAGAAGGAACAGGTACAGAGGCCCTGAGTTGGGAATGAACTGGATATGTTCAAGGGTTAAAAAGAAGGCTGGTGTGGCTGAGTGTGGTAAATGAAGGAGAGAGTAGCAGGAAATGAAACTGGAGAGACTGGCAGAGGCTGAATCATGTAGGATCCTGCAGGTCATCGAAGAAAATATGCAATTAGGATGAAATCCACAGGGAAGCCATTGGAGAGCATCAGGCAGGAAAGTGACACTATGATTTAATACATAAATTAACTATTTATTATATTGGATTGTATCTCTAAGGTCCTTTGCCATTTTAGCAGTCTAACTCTAGGTTATCTGCATCTGGGCTTTATTTTGGCTGAATTTCACAATTTTCCAACATTAATTTTGGTCTGAGACCTTCAACATTGGCTGGTAATCCATTGGGGGGAAGCATATTACCACTCTGTTTCTATAAAAAGTGCCCTTACTCTGTTACTGTTGGCTCGAAAAAAGTGGTTATGATAATTATCTTGAGTATTCTAATCTATAGGATGGGATAGGGGACATTTATAAGTTTGGATTCTCATATTATTGTCTTATCCAAATATATCCATTTTTTAGTATAGTGGTGGATTTTACTTTACCAGTGGAAGGGCAGAATAACATTTTCAATGACCCAGTGCCTAACATACAGGAGTTACTTAATAGATATTTTAAAACAGTCTGTCCACTAAATAGGAACTGTTTCTGTTGGCTGAATTCAACACACACCACCAGTTTACGACCTTTAGTATGCATAATTTGTCATTTAATTTTAATAACCACTCAGTGGGTGTGTGTAGGGCTCCCACTGTATAAAACAGGAAACCTAAACTCAAAGCAATTCACACTGTTCCTCATGTAATCCTGAAAGCATTTGCATGAGGTAGTCCACGTTTCTGATGAAACAGAAGGATAGTGACTTACCCACCTCCCTATTCCCTTACCCTACTTCCGTTTTCCTACTAGAATTTGTCATTTCTGAATATAATATATATCAATCTGTGTATTTGTTTATCAGCTCTGCTGGAGTATGCACTCCATGAGGGGAGGAGCTGTATAAGTTCTCTCTTCCTGTATAACCAATCACTCCAAAACTCAGTGCCTTAAAACAACAAACATTATCTCGCTGTTCCGTGGGTCAGGAATTCAGAAGCAACCTAGCTCCATGATTTCAGCCTAGATTCTCTCATGAGATTGTAGTCAGATGTCAAGCTAGGGCTGCAGCCATCTGAAGGCTTGGCTGGAGCTGGGATATCTGCTTCAAAGATCACTCACATGGCTATTGGCAGGAAGCCTTATTTTCTCACCATTTGGGCCTCTCCTCATGACAGGACAGCTGGCTTTCTCTACTGTGAACAATTCAAGAGAGAAAAAGAAGCAAAAGCCTTTTAGATATAAAATATCTTTTACAACATAACGTGGAGGTGACAGAGTACTGCTGTATTCTCTTGGTGACACAGACCTCTCCTGGGATGTTGTGGGAGGGGTTACACAAGGGTATGAATAACTGGCGGTGGCTTTCATTGGGGTCATCTTGGAGGCTGGCTGCCACAGGTACTTCTCTGGTTTACTATAATAGTAATATTACTACTAATAATGTTACTATAATAGTAATAATAGTAAACTAGAGAAGAGTATAGTAAACATCAAGAAAGAGTACCTTGCATATAGAAGGTGCTTAAATATTTGTTGAATGAGTAGGTAGATTCAGAGTACATATGAATTCAAAATGTATGTCTTTAGAAAAACAGCATTCATGGAGCCATAAGTTGTTGGAGAGGGACATGGAAAAGGAGTACTAAAATAAAAGTTATTGTCAGTTATAAATAGTAAGGGGAAATCACTCTGTTTTTTATTATGTCCCTCAGATGTGGAAACATGAGGGATTTTTTGCACTCTATAAAGGATTTTGGCCAAACTGGCTTCGACTTGGACCCTGGAACATCATTGTATCCTTTTAGAATATGAGAATGAAATCCGATGCTTCAAGCTCCCAGGTAATTCTAGATTATGGGAAGGAAAATTTGATTATTGACACCTTTAGGCAAGTGAGAAACTGAAGCATTCTAATTGTGACCATTGAGGATGGAACTAATAGAGAAATGACTTTCAGCTGGAGTCTAGTACAAACTGAAGGCAGCAGAAAAGATATACCAAAATTTCCTCTTTAAAACAGAACAAGTACAACCAAAGCTGGAATGGGTTATGAAGTTTTTGGAAACCCTGTTGGGATTTGCCCTAGGAAAGTACATGCTGAGGTGGTCCGTATTTCCTACTCCTAACTATAGGACCAAAGTAATGGGAAATAATAAGACAGAAAACACTCTTAGAGCAAAGGAATCCAGGCCAAGTAGGGCTGTTTCCTCATGGGTGGATTTCCTTTCTTTAGCCATGTTTGAGTGCCTCCTCTGTGTAGAGAGATGAATTGGATATTGTGTGTAGTTTATGTGTATAGTGGTGAGTATTGCAGGGTTGAAAAATAACTCCTTGCCCTTGCGGAGACTATAGGTTGATGGAGATAGTATCTCTTCTCCCTCCTTGGGATTGATCTAATCACCTAAAGTCTGTAACAGTTACTCTTAGCATGGAATTATATGTTGTCATTAATATTCTTTGGGGTGGAGGTGGTGGTGGTGGGTGTATCTGTGTGTGCGTGTGTCTGTGTGTGTCCCGTTTGCCCCTGAAGACGATAAGTATGTTAGTTTTAATCTGTTTTTATTACTGCATGCCAAATCATAATGGGGACATGGTGGGCACTCAGCACATGCTTGACTTGCCAGGTATTGTTTTTAAAAAGACTTAAGCAAGTGCAACTCAGAAGAGCCCAGACTAAATACCTCAATGTAAGAGAATGCAGTACACAATTTTAGAACTTGGTTAGGTTTTCACTATCAATCCAGTGATCTTCCATGACTTACTCTTCAGTTTTTTATTACATACGAGCAGCTCAAGAGGCTTCAGATCTAAGGACTGAATTATATGTGAGCCAAGCCCTGCAACCTTTCTACTCTTTTCCCTTTTTCTGTGTTCTAATGTATTTTGACAAAGTTGTGTTTACTGAACCACTGATCTCCCAGGAGCCTCCTGATGGAAGAACTATAGGATGGTTCAAAATTGTTCATGTGTTTGTGTTACCATGTTAACTTTTTCCCTGAGAGGAAGTGTTAACATTGAGACTCTGGCCCCAGATTGGTATCTTCTATGAAGATGGATACTGATGGATGACATTCAACATGGCCTTCTTTTCAAATGTTGGTTAAATGTAGTTGGTTAGCCCCAGACTTGGGCTAGAGCAGAAGGCATAGGCCAGGGCAGTTACTGCTATGTATGTTTCAGACCTCGGTTCTCATTAAAGTATTTATTGGCAGAATCACTTTGGCTTTGTTTTCATTTACTGCTTTCTCTTTTGCCAGCTATTTAAGTTACATTCTCCAGAAAGTGATAAAGGTTACTATGAAATTGAGTCTGGACTCTTAAAGCACATTTATGGGAATAGACAAAGTGCATTGTGTTTTCCCACTGCCACTCGTCGTCATAATGCTACTTACTTGTAAACATCTGGTAAATGGTTCTTTCCTAAGCATGAATAACCAAACAAGTGGCTCATTTGGAAGTTTCTACAGATTAAATGTAAAAAGAGGCTTAAAATAGAACCTTGTGTCCAGGGTTCTAATTGTCTTATAGGCAAAAAGTTTTGGCTACTTTCTTGTACTAGAAAAGTGCCTAGCACATTGTAGGCACTCAGATATTTGTGGATGGAACTAGAGGGTGTTGGTATTACGCTAAGCGAAATAAATCAATCAGAGAAAGACAAGTATCATATGCTCTCACTCATATGTGGAATTTAAGAAACAAAACAGAGGATCATAGGGGAAGGGAGGGAAAAATAAAACAAGATGAAATCAGAGAGGGAGACAAACCATAAGAGACTCTTAATCATAGGAAACACTCATATGTGGAATATAAGAAACATTGCAGAGGATCATAGGGTAAGGGAGGGAAAACTGAATGGGAAGTCATCAGAGAGGGAGACAAACCATGAGAGGCTCTTAACTCTAGGAAACAAACGGGGTTGCTGGAGGGAAGGGGGCTAGGGTGATTGGGTGATAGACATTAAGGAGGGCACATGATATGATGGGTGTTACATGCAACTGATAAATTATTGAGCACGACATCTGAAACTAATGATGTACTATATGTTGGCTAACTGAATTTAAATAAAATAAAATAAAAATTTTAAAAAATTTAAAAAAATCACAGGAAACAAACAGGGTTGCTGGAGGGGAGGGTTACTGGAGGGAGGGGTGGGTTGCTGGATGGGATAGCTGGGTGGTGGACATTGGGGAGGGTGCGTGGTGTGGTGAGCACTGGGTATTATATAAGACTGATGGATCCCTGAACTCTGCCTCTGAAACTGGTAATGTACTGTATGTTAATTAATTGAATTTAAATTAAAAAAATTAAAAAGTATTTGTGGAATGAATAGTTTAGCTCTTCATCTTTATCCATTCATTGATTTGTTCAACAAACATTTATTGTGTGTCTATTATGTCCTAGATGCTGGGAATATAAAAGTAAGTTAAGAGAGAGTCTCTGTTTTCAAGCTCACATTATAGGAGGAGAAAGAGATATGTAAGTAGATAATTATAGTAGGTACTAAGTACTATGTGAAAGATGAACAAAGTGCTAGAAGCACGGAGAAGGGAACAGCCAGTTACCTAGGGGATTGGCCAAAGGCTTCATAGAAGAGATGACATTTGAGGTAAATAGCAGATGTTACCATATGGATAAGGCAGGGAAGGACATTCCAGGCAGGGAAATAGGGGAAAGTTCAGTAGCTAAAATGTAGGGCAGTGGTTTTCAAATACTGTGTGAGGCAGAATCTCCTGGAGATCTTGTGAAAATGTAGATTCTTACATTCCATTGCCCTCCTAACCTTATCTGGGGCAAAGGCATTTGCTTTCATCACGGATACTTGACACAGGTGGTCCTTGGACTACACTTTGGGAAGCACTTGTACAGAACTGTGGGCTGGAATGAAATGAAATAAGAATACTGTGACCAAAAGAGTCAAATTATGAGGGATCTTTATATGCACTAGGAAAGAGTTTGACTTTCTTATCCTGGAGTGGGGGGTAGGCAAAGGAAGTTAAAAATAGGGGAATAATATAACCAGCTTTTAATTTTAGGAGGATAACCCTGTTGTGGAGGGTAGCCTGGAGGGGAGCAACCCAAAAAAGGTTAAGACCCGCTGAAATCTACTCCTTTTTATGTACAGGTAGATAAAATACGGTCCACAAAAATGAAGACAGTTTGTCCTAAGTCACATAACTGGATTGTGGCAGATTTGAGACTAGCGCATAGTTCTCAGATTTCTTCTCTGTCTCATTCTACCACTCCACAGTGCTTTCTTAACTATCAGTTTAAAGTACTATCTTTTTAAAATTAATTTTAATATACTTTATTTTTTTAAAAGATTTTATTTATTTATTTGACAGCATGCACAAGCAGGGGGAGCAGCAGACAGAAGGAGAGGGAGAAACAGGCTTCCTGATGAGCAGGGAGCCCAATGCGGGGCTCGATCTCAGGACCTGGGATCATAACCTGAGCCGAAGGCAGTGACCCAATTGACTGAGCCACCCAGGCGCCCCAAATAGACTTTATTTTTAAAAGAAGTTTCAGGTTCATAGCAAAATTGTGTGGAAGGTACAGAGATTTCCTGTGTACCCCTAACCCTACTTTGAAATTCATCACCAGAGTGATTCATTTGTTACAGTTAGTGAATCTACAATGGCATATTATTATCACCCCAAAACCATTATCTACATTAGGATTCACTCTTAGGGTTATGCATTCTGTGGGTTTTGATGTGTGACATGTATCCATTGTTATAGTATATAGAATCGTTTCACTGCCCAAAAAATCCTCTGTGCTCTGCCCATTTATCCTTCCCTCTCCCCTAACCCCTGCAGTCCACTGATCCTTTTATGATCTCTATATTTTTGCCTTTTCCAGAGTGTTAGACAGTGGTATGTAGCCTTTTCAGATTGGCTTTTTTACTTAGTAATATGTACTTAAGTTCTTGTCTTTTCATGCCATGTCTTTTCATGGCTTGATAGCTCACTTTTTCTTTTCTTTTGGATGTACCACAGTGTATTTATCCATTTACCTACTAACGCATGTCTTGGTTGCTTCCAAGTTTTGGCATTTATGAATAAAGCTGCTATAAATACGTGCAAGTTTTCGTGTGGACACAAATTTCAACTCATTTGGGTAAATACCAAGAAGTACAATTGCTGGATGGTATTGTAAGAGTATGTTTAGTTTTGTAAGAAACTGCCAAACTGTCTTCCAATAGTAGCTGTACTGTTTTGCATTCCCACCAACAATGAACAAGAATTGCTCTTTTTCCACATCCTTGCCAGCTTTTGGTGGTGTCAGTGTTTTGGATTTTGACCATTCTTTTAGGTGTGCAGTGGTATCTCATTGTTTTCTTTGTTGTTTTTTTTTCTTATCAGTTGTCACTTTAAAAAGTTTTTTAAAGTTTTCAACTTTAATTTCAGGATAGTGAACATATAGTGTTATATTAGTTTCGGGTGTACAGTATAGTGATTCAGTAATTCTATACATTACTCATTACTCATATGATGAGTGTACTCTTACTGCTCGTCACCTAGTCCACCCATCCCCCCACCTCCCCTCTGGTAACCATCAGTTTGTTCTCTATAGTTAAGAGTCTGTTCCTTGGTTTGTCTCTTTCTTTATTTTTTCCTTTGTTCATTTGTTTAGTTTCTTAAATTCCACATATGAGTGGAATTGTATGGTGTTTGTGTTTCTCTAATGGACTTATTTTGCTTGGCACTATACTCTCTAGCTCCATCCATGTTGTTGCAAATGGCAAGATTTCATTCTTTTTGATGGCTGAATAATATTCCATTGTGTACATATGCTTTTTAAGACTACTACACTAGTCAGATACCCTACTCATTCCTGAATAGATTAGCAAAAAGGAAGTCATTTTTTCACAAGGGTATAGACTGGAAGGTAGTTTCTTAAAGGGTTTATATATATTGGAAATTGGCATTCTATTCACCTCAGCTTAAATGTTATTCCTTTGGGGAAACCTTACATTGATTTTCTCTCTACCAGTCTAACTTTCTTCATTATAATTCTTTTTTTTTTTAAAGATTTTATTTATTTGACAGAGAGAGACACAGCAAGAGAGGGAACACAAGCAAGGGGAGTGGGAGAGGGAGAAGCAGGCTTCCCGCTGAGCAGGGAGCCTGATGCGGGGCTTGGTCCCAGGACCCTGGGATCATGACCTGAGCTGAAGGTAGATGCTTAATGACTGAGCCACCCAGGCGCCCCTCATTATAATTCTTATGCCACATATTTATAACTACATACTATTATTTGTGTGATTATTTGATTAATATCAATATCTCCCATTAGTCCGTAAGCTCCATAAAAATAGGGATTCTGTTGATTTTGTTTACTGCTGTGTTCTCCATGCCTAGCACATATACTCAGTAAATATTTGTTAAATGAAAAAATGAATTTATCTGTATCCAAAGAGCTGATAAAATACCTAAAACATGGCAAAGATTAAACAAATACTGTGGGATTTAAATGGAATGAAATTAAGTTTTGAATTACTAGATAAGGCTGGAATGATAAAGAATAGGTTATTAAGGATAAATAGAGGTGCTTGGGGAGGGAGATGCACCTAATCTTTTATTTATTATTGTTATTGTTATTTTATATAATAAAGTAGGCTCCATCTCCAGTGTGGAGCCCAACGCAGGGCTTGAACTCATGACGCTGAGATCAAAACCTTAGCTGAGATCAAGAGTTGGATACTTAACCCACTGAGCCAGCCAGGTACCCTGATACACCTAATCTTTTTAATTGATTATCTGTTCAATCATTAAACAAATGTCCCTGCCTCATTGAGCTTACTGTGTACAGAAGGGAGATATAACAAAAAGATTAATGAGTAAAATATATAGTTTACTGGATGGTGATAAGTCATTTACAGAAAAATAAAGCAGGGGAGGGGGAATATTGGGGTAAGGTCACATACCGAGAAAGCCAAATTTAAGTCTATGGGGGTGAGAAAAGGAGCCATTCTAGGGTTAAAGCAAATGCAAAGTCTCTGAGGTGAGAGTCTACGTGGAGTCTAATGATTCAAGCAAGAAGTGATGATGGCTTGGATGAAGGTAGCAGCAGTGGAGGCTTTGAGAAGTGGTTGAAATTCATATATTTTGGAGAAGAGTGAATAATGACCCGCTAGGGCATAGAATGTGGGTTGTAAGAGAGAAAGTGAGCAGTGGTAAGGATTACTCCAAGACCCAAGTCTCTAGAAGGGCA